AAGGGAGCAAAGGCGAAAGTGGTTTGAAAAGAACTGTGGTCAGAAAGGCAGGCAAGGGCCAAATGATGCAGGGGCTTGCAGATTTTGAAAAGTGTTTGCTTTTAACTCAAATGCAGAGGGATAACTTCAGAAGGTTTCAAAGAGGGGTCTGACATGATCTGATCTAAGATTTATAAAGATCACTCTGGCTGCTGTGTGGAAGGTGGATGGTAAAGGGGGCAAGAGTGGAGACTACTCTAATGGTGGTACTGAAGACAGGTGATACAAATTATTAGAAAAGGTTAAATGTCACAGGTAGGAAAATGAGGAAAGGTTTTATGATCACTACCTACCTAACCTCTTTCTAGAAATGAGTTTTATCTTAATCTCATCATTTGATGCCTAATTCTGGCCCCAAGTACACCCGTGTTAAATAACCTCAGGAGGCAAAAAGAAACTAGTGCCCTTTGGCTTCTCAACGATTTGGGGGAAAGTGTAGCTCCAACCAAACCAAAAACAAAATTACCAACGCCCTGTTCCTTACTGAGAAAGCTTCTGGGTAATTCTCAAACTGAAAAGAAAAACAAAGGCTTGAACCATAAGCATTAACTCTTTGATTTCACATAGGTGTGTAGTAATGCTTGCCAAAAGATTTGACCAAGAATGTACTGAATACAAATGGAGGGGAATGGAGTCTGAAACCAAGAAACTTAGAAGTAAAGAACCGTAAGACCTAAGGGTGAGCAAACAATAGTCATTTTTGAAGTGCCTACCACAAAGTCAATACTGTGCCCAGTACTTTGTCGAATAGAAAAGGAACACAAGACACACCCCTACTCTTTAAGGAATGCACCCTACAGATGGGGAAACAAGACTAACACATAAAATAATTAGATGTCTAGCTGCCTAAGTGTAGGGAGGCAGATTTGGGGTCTCCGCTAGAGCTCTGAGGCTGGTGGCAGAAGCCTTGGGTTCCAGTCCATCTTTGTAACTTAGGACAAGTCATCTAACAATTCTGGGTCTGATTTTTCTTTTTTAACGCAAAGATAATGGTGCAAACCTTCCTGGTGGGGATTACATGTGATTTGAAAATGCTTTGTAAGTTATAAAGTGTGGTATAAATAGTAAGGGTTATTATTACCGACTCTAAGTACAAAATGAGATGGCAATGCATCAGCATATAGAGCCCTCTCTGCAAAACAAAACCTAATTAATTGCCTCCCGCTCAAACACCACCAATGGCTCCCCATTATCTAAAGGAAGAGTTAGCAAATTATGGCTCATGGGCCAAATCCAGTCCGTTGTCCGCCTTATAAATAAAGTTTTATCGGAACACAGTCACAGCTATTTGTTTGCATTTTTGCCTAAGATTCAAAGTTGAAAATATTTACTATCTGGCTCTTTACAGAAAAACTTTGCCAACCCCTGGCCTAAAAGATGAAGTCTAAATCCCAGTTAACATGTAAAGCACTCTGACATGTGAAGCATTGCTGGATAACTGAAATACACCGGACACTTTCCTTTCAGTCATCCCCAACTCTGTACAACATTTTGTACCACTTCCCAGGAATTGGTTCCATTTTTGGTGGCATTATGACATCCCTTCTTAATGCTACAATAGTGATCATGTCTTGTTTATTTTTGTAATCTTCACAAGGTTTATCACAGTGCCCAGATCATAACAAGTTCTCAATAAAGTTCAACCAAATTAAATCCAAGACATAAGTTGATTAAGCATAATACACCAACAGAGAGACACAGTTCATTAGTCCTGGAGACCTATTGATAATATATCACTGGAAGAGAAAGAAGTTGGAAGTAAATTAACTTATTCACACTTAATTAATTAGTTACACAAATATTTATTCCATGCCAACGATACAACTATTCCATGCCATAGAAGCTATGGTAAATTACACAATAGAGGATTATATTCATTCATTTGACAAGTATTCATTTACCACCTGCTCGGTATCAAACTAGGAGTAAGGGCTATGGCCACTTCCTGCTCTCAAGGAGCTTGTAATCTGCTTGGGGAGGCTGAAGGTCAGCAGATAATTGCAGTACAAGAGACAAGTGCAACACCAAAGCATAGACAAGGTATGGAAGTGATAGGGAATGAGTCCTGGGAATGTCATTCTTGTGCCTCCTATAAATTTACCTAAAGTGTACTCTCCCCGGGGAAACTAGAAGGGACCAAAACCTTCTCTCAAGTATTGATGGTCTTCAGTTGGATTATACCTGATGAACTAACACTGAGTGTGCTGGCCATCTTATACAGATTATTCATTAAATCTTCACAACAGCTGAATGAGGTTTTGTTGTTGGTAGTGTCATCAAGTCATTTTTGATGAGACTTTATCTGGGAAGGCTAAATCACTTGTCCCAGGTCAACAGTCAGTAAGTGGAAGATTCTAGTTCAGGTCAATCTTATACTAAAGCTTATATACTTAACCCCTCACTGTATTGCCTAAATACATGCCAGAGAAGAGAACTGGAAATCCATTCTATAGGAAGCCTAAAATATGTGACGTACAGAGATAGTATTACATGAGTCTGGGCCTACTGAATGGACACTGATTCCATGAGGACTATCTGGTGTGGACTAAAAGTGTGGTTGGAGCATAAAATAGTTGGTGCATGTTCAATAAGTCAATAATCGAGGGAGGGGAGATTAAAGGGTTTCAAAAATCAGCTATAACTCCCAGGCGCTGGGTGTGCAGCAGGCTGCTATGATCATCTCTGGGAAGTGTTCTGGACTCTGGCCAGGATATTAATTAAGCCCTGACCACCGAGGACCAAGGAACTCCCTATTAATTAATGGCCAGCTTGGAGCCTCTGAGACCTGAGAGCCTCCAAAGGATCATTCCTTTTAGCCATTTCTATTCCCCAGGACATGTCTGTGCAAAGGTCATGGTGGGCACTGGGGGCAGAAGAGTTGGAACATGAATATGTAATTTTTTAAAGCAAAATTTTCATATTTGCTAAGCTTCCTATGCCATCTCCAGGACACAAGAGTTTTCCACATTAGCCTGATTATTCAAGTTGCCATTCCACTGTTCATTCTTTACTTATACCAAAGGTGGTGTAAAACCAAAAAACATATTTAAAAAATCCAACTGTAAATGAATACCATGATGAGAAAATGAGATATACTTTCTCTCCCATTTTATTGGCAAAGATGAAAAAATCTTCATAATCTGACACATGTGGCAATGAAGCAGCTCTGGTGAAAAGGCCTTCTCCTGTAGTAGTGGCAGGGCTGCGTATTACTACAGGTGTCTGGAAGGAAAGGTGGTAATGTCATCAAAATGTAAAATGCATGGCTCCTTTGACCCACAGATTCCTCTCCTAGGAATTTATTCCAAGGAGATAATTAAACAAGTGCTCTAAGGTTCATATATTTTTAAAATGTTATTTACTACATTATTGATAATAGCAAATATTTAGAAACAACCTAATATCCGTAAAAGGGTACTATTTAAATAGATCATGGAATAACTAGACAACAGAGTCCTACTAGCCTACTTAAAAAGATGATGTGAATCTAAAAGCAATTAACATAGAACTTTCTCCACGTTGTCCAGTGGGAAAAAAAAAATGCTCTCTGGAGACCTGTCTGTGCACGCATGTGCAAGCTTTGCACAGTGCATGATCTTCACCAAATTGTTGGTGCATAGTGATCCTTTTGAGTGGTGAGATTTCAAGTGATTTTTTTCCTTCTTCTTCTTTTTTTTTTGTTTGTCTGTATTATTTGAATTATTACAATGAATACAAAATATCTTTATAAATAGAAAAACAACCTTTTTAAAGATCAAAAGAAAACATCAAAAGGGTACATAAATTTCCTAGAGAAAGAGCAGGGCTAAGATCGGCATAATGGTAGACTTTCAGAAGGAAAATGTGGAGGGACTTTGAAAACTGATAGCCTTGCAGAAAAAGATCAGTCCTTTCCCAGTCCTGGACAAGGCAGGAAGTTCCAGTGGTTAGGAACCTGTACTCCAGGGTCAGACCTTGAGTTCAAATGCTGGCTCTATCATTTACCAGGTGAGCAAGTTAAGGCAAAATTGCTTAACCTTCTATGCCTCAGTTTTCTTACTTATAAAATGGAGGACTGGTAGGACCTGCCCCTAAGGTGGTCATGAAAATTAAGTAGTTCATCAAAACACCTAGAACAATGACTGGCACATAATCAATGTTCACTAAACACCAGCTCTTATGAAAAGCAGCTTCTGACAATTGTAGCCTATGTGAGTTAACTTCCCAGAATGAAGTGCTAGTGAGCAGTTAAGAAGGAGGAAAAGGTGGAAGATGATTAGGCAAATGGATCCACAAAAATAGAATATATAGGCTCAGCAGTACAAGGGTTAAGGATATGAGGTGTGTGGTTTCAGACATGTGACTTAACCTCACAAGTCTCAATTGCTCACTCTGCAAAATGGGATCATATGCAGAGGGCCATTTTGCAGATTAAATTCCAAGCACTAGCACAGTGCTTGGTAATAGTAAGTTCTCAATGTACATCCGTTATTATTAATAAACATAATTATTCTTGACTATGAGATTGGGTAGTGAGTTCTCTGTCCCTACAGGTATCTAGGCAGGCTTTATGGCTACTTGAGAAGGATGATGCAGAGAAGACTTGGTCACGGAATGAAGGCTGAACTACTGGGTTCTTTCATACCTAAAAACCCTATGCTAAGTCATTAAAACACAAAACTGATTTTTAAAAAGGGTGTTGTTTGGGATTGTTGTACAGAGTAACTGGGGAACCCAGCATCAGCAGGCTTATCGCCACAATGATGCAGCCCTCAGAGGCCTGCCCTGCTTGTCAGACAGGTGAGGCAACTGAGAGGTGGTTCCCCAAACTCTGCTCATTCTCTGTCCCAAGAGTGGATCCACTTGTTCTGGAAAAGCTGAAGATGATGGTTTTTCCACGATTTGGGTTTACAGAGCCGCATGGGCATCTGCTGAAAGTTGTGGCTCCTTTTCCTAGAAATATGTACATCTACACACTCCCTGGCTTTCACAACCAGGAAACCTGGCTGCAAGTGACATCAACAGTAATAACAGCAGTAATAGCAAATACACACTGATTTCTTACTGCGTGCTGGACTTCTGTCAGACCCATGAATCCATGAGTGACTAGGCTATGAGTAACATCCCCATTTCACAGATGAAAATAATGAGGCTCAGAGAGGATAAGAATTAACCAAAGTCCTTCAGCCACTAAAGGGCAAGGGCTTGAACCCAGGTCTAAGTTACTTTCAGAGTGTGAGGAGTAGTTTCAGACCTGATGACAAATTGACAACTCTTTAGCATTTTAGATAAATTCTATTGTCTTCCAGGACCTGTCACACACTCCCCAAGCCCCACTGGGTCAAGTAAGACCTTTTAAGGTAGCTAGAAACAGGGAGGCAAAAGTCATCATGGGCTTTATCCAGGAATTCCTGGGGAAAGTAGAAGACTGAGAGATAAGGCTTAGGCTGCACCCACAAAGCACGTACCCTAAAAGGCAGACAAGGGGAATGTTAATAGTCCCTGTCTGGGGAACAAAGCACCATTGCTTAGAGAAGCAGAGGTTTTGATCTGTAGGATAAGGCTGGGTGCCACAGACAGACAATTCTCCCAGAGATATCCCAACACTTGTAGCTGTCTATGACTTTCATTTTCTTTTAAAATCTTTGTTCATCCAGGCAGGTTTGGGCGTCAGCTCAGCGCCATGGGACCTCTCTGACTCAAAGCAACAGGTTCACCTCTCTGTGGCAAGGACAGGAGACAGCCCCCCACATCTCTCCAGACTTGCAGGGGACTTCAAACCCCTGTTCTCAAATCACTCATCTCACCTGGCCTGCACAGCAGGCAGATCCCAAGGGGACAAAGTCATAACCTCAAGGTTCAGAACACCTATTTAGGAATCATATATCCTTTGGTTCAAATTCCATCTCCTCCACTCAATAGTTAACCCTCTCCTAGCCTCAGTTTCATTATCAGTCCAATGAGGATAATGCTGTAAGGATTAAACGAGATCATGCAAAATTGGAAAGGCAGTGGAGTGTAGGAGTTAAGACTACAAGCTATGGTGTCAGACTGTTTACGTTGGGATCCCAGCTCTGTCCCTAGCTGTGAGGCCCTGGGCAAGTTACTTAACCTTTCTGGGGTTCTCATTCTTCAACTGTAAAATGGGGGTAATGATAGTATCCACCTCATAGGGTAGTTTGTGAAGAATGAATGAGTATGTCTTGGAAAGCACTTAGAACAACACCTGGTACATTAGTGAGGACTCAGTAGATGCGAGTTGCTATGATTAATGCATGTAAAGACCACAGCATAGTAAAAACAAGTGTTCAGTAAATGATAACTGTGATTATAAGGTGCACTTTCTGTAGAGAATTTCATGTACAATTATCTCCTAAGAAAGCAATTAAAAAATGAAGATGTTAGGGGAAAATCTTGTTCTCAAGTAATCGTTAGAGTCCTAGGAGAGAGCAGTGGCCTCAGCGGGATGCCCCAGGACCCCCAACAGCCAGGCTCTTGTTGGCTTCCAAACGACCTGCCCTTCATCCCGCCATCCACTCATTCACCAAGTGCTCATTGAGCAGCCACAGTGAGCCTGCAGGAGGGCTGGGGATCCACAGCACGGAACAACAGGGCTCTAGCCTCTGCCCTCCTAGTGCTTACAGGGTAGTGGGAGAGACACACTAAATAAATATGTACACAGGTGATTATTACAGCTGCCATTCGTGCTATGAAGGAGGTAATGTGAATGTATAACAGGGTCTTGACGTAGTCTAGGACTGGGAGTGTGTATGAGGGTGGAGTGATTGGAAAGGCTCCCTGAGGAAAGGACATTTAAGCTGGGGCTTCTTGAATGAATAGGAGTTGGCTGAGTGATGCCTGGGAGTGGAGGGAGAAAAAGGTCCAGGCAGACAGGTATTTTGTTTAAGGCTCTGCAGCCAGAAGATACCTGGCTCACTAGGGGAACAGAACGAAGGGCAGTATGGTTGGCTTATTCCTAACCTTCCACTCAAAAGTGCTCAGAGTTATGAGGCTGAAATGTGGAGAGAAACCAAGGTCCACAGGAACTTCATTCTCAGCAGCGACTGTCATCTCTTCTGTTTCAGATGTTTGTTGCCTGTTTGCAAAGACTGCTTGCTGGCTCAGGCCCAACCCCCAAGGCCAGCCGAACGGAGACCTCAGGTCAAAATTCAGAGACTGCAGACATGTCTCACTCTGCCTCCCTGTGAACTGCAGCCAAGACACCACGACGGGGACTCTGTCCTATGAATCCCTTCTGATGCCTCGATCCCATCCTGGTCACACTCCACTGGGTTATGTGAAGTGATTGAGGAAGATAAGTTTCCCTCACTGAAGAAAAGGAAGTAGCATGAAAGAAAACAATGGCCCCAAAGGAGGGATTTGTGTTTGACATAAATGGAGATGTTCCCTTAGGAGCATCATATATCATCAGAGAAGTAAACCTCCAGGTCATTTATTTCTCCGCCTATTTACACGCTATGCAAAGAAGATGTCTTTAAGTTTCTTGCAGTTTTACCCTGGAAATTGATGTTTGGGGAAAGGAAGTCTTACATTCAGATATAGCAGGTTTCTTTTGGAATCCATACCCTGGGAGTCTGGCACTATCCCCTAAATGGTACTTTTGTTGTTTTTTTGTTCAAGACAGCAAGTTTCCTCCAGGATCAGACCTGCCGGCTTGCCTCCCTTGATAAACAGCCCACCAGCTCTCTTGGTAGATGAGATGTTTAATCATTAGCCTAACTCATTTTTTATCTAAGTAGCAATTATCACTGCAATGATATAATATTTTAACTGCAGAGAAAGCATTAGGGATCACTCCTAAGTAGAATCCAAGGGCTGGGAATGGCCAACAAAGCTTCCCGCACTAAGAGGAGAGGACCACCCCATCCCAACTGGCATTTCTCCATGTCTGAAATGCCATCGTTAGATGCTGCTCCAAAGACCTAAGGAAATGTGCCCAGGAGAAGCGCATGGTCCCAACCCTTTCAACTGAGGCTCAATGGCCCAGCAAACTATGAAAGTGCGGCCTGTTCTCCTAAAGCGAAACAGTCTGGAGTCGGTGGAGCTTGTGAAACAACCTCACCACCGCAGGAGCAAATCCCAGCAGGTGCGGTTCAAGGAAGATGGGACCAGTAAGAATCCAAGTGGCCTAGCCGAGGTTGATGTCCAAACTTCCGAAGACTCGGCTGTGATGGGGAAGACTCAAGCATCCAGGCACCATCAACTCCCCACCTACTCACTCTCCTTACCCAGATCTGAAAAGGCAGGGGGCTTTCGGAACATCGCAATCCAAACCTCCCCCAGTCTCAGGAAGCATTTCCCAGTTTTCAAAAGGAAGAAACTCACAGCCAGCAAGTCCCTGGTGGAAATGCCAACAGCAACCCAAAGTGCCATCCAGGTCAACGGCAACCTCTCCAAACAAGACATTGTGTCTTCTGACCTCGCCTACTTAAGGCTGGCTCAGCATCTTGAGGATGGGCCTCGAAGGGTCAAGTTGTCCCACTCATTTCTCCCGAGGGTGTCCAAGGTGCAAAGCAATGGGCCTGTTAGCATCTGCTTGGAAGCAGGGACATGGGGGGCCTCAGAGAAAGCAACAGCTGCCATTCAGGTCCCGGATGATATTTATCACAGTCCTTCCTGGGAAGCTAGAGGGGTCACTTTCAGCCCAGACAAGTTGGCTGAGATCAGTAACTCCATACAACCTGTGGTCAAAATGTGTCCAGGTGATGGGAGAAGTGGGCTGACAGCAGATTCACAAAAACCCCTCTCCTGCTTAAATGCCACCAGCGGCGCCAACCACACACCAGGCACAGACAAATTGCAACCCAAATTGCTCTTGTCCAAAGACAACCCCGATGATAAAGACCTTGGTCCACTATCATCTCTGTCCAAGGAAAGGTGTGTCCCCTCCCCTCCACGGACTCACAGCTCCCCCTCGCCAGGCACCCACAGCCAGCCAGCCCACCCAGGAAGAACTTCAGACTGTCTTTCATTGGGTAACAATCACCAGGACCTGGTATCACCAACAGCTAACAGTGGGTCAAGATCTGCAGCCCCGTGTCAGGAGGAGATGGTGAAGCATTCCATGCAGTCAGACACCCTGGACTTTCCAAACTGTTTAGGAAGTGATCCCACCCCATCCTCTCTTCCAAGGAATGAAACAAAACTTCCAACCAACAAAGAGATGAGTGGAATGAATCAAATTCACCTGGCCCGGGGTGAACTCTTCGACCTCCAAGGCAGGCTGCAATCTGTGGAGGAATCCCTGCACTCGAACCAAGAGAAAATCAAAGTCCTGTTGAACGTAATTCAAGACTTGGAAAAAGCTAGAGCTCTCACAGAAGGGTAAGGTGAATTTTTTTTTTTTTAAATATTGAAAACTACTAGGTTAAGTTACTTGTCAGGAAAGGGGCAGAGAGAGCATTGATTTCCATCAATAAAATGTTTCCAAAATGTTTGAGGTTCTGTTGGCCCCCCAAATCATAGCCAAATGGCCTCCCTTTTCTTTGATTGGGTTTTAGTTAATTCTAGGCTTCCGTGGATTGGTGTGGATTTCCATTGCCATTTGCTTTTATTTCCAGGTGTTTCCACTGGGGAAAGAAGGCAATTAAGCAGCAGTATCAAAAAATCATCTCTATGAAAATGAGGGCCCAGTTAATAAAAGACGGGGGAAAAGCTAACAGGCAGAGAACCACCCCATCCTCTCAGCGAGTGACTACATTTGCACTGCATTTCAGTTGTTTGTAACAAAGGATTTGACGTGTCACTAAACTTACTGTTGACCTTCCCCTCCACTGACCGCTGTGATGACTTGGGCTAGTCCATCACTGACCAATTAGGAGCTGAAATGAGATCAGAATTTTGCAAAGAAAAAGAGTCACCAAATGCTTTCGGGGGTGACTCAGCACCAGTATAAGAGGGGAAGGCAGTTATTGGTTTGGATATGGAATGCTCATCCCTCCAAAAAGTGCTCTGGAACAACAAAGAACTAGGAATGGCTAAAGCTAATCAAAAAAGGGTGGGAGAGGGCAGAAGTAATAAACCGGCATTTGCTGCTATGAATCAGAATCAACATTGCCTTATAGAGAGAAGCAGGGTGACACAGAGAGGAATACACTGAACCAGCGCGTCAGGGATTTTAATATCCCCCTTCTGCTCACTTGCAAAATCCCTCAGTTTCCTCATCTACCACGTGGGGGATAAGACTAACTGACCCATCTCACAGGGCTGTTGTCAGCTTGGGAAAAAAAGCCTCAGATTTGAAAGTGTATAAAACATTTATAAAGCCCTCAGAAACACGAGGCACTATTGTCCTGGCTCCCCTGTTTCCTTATTTGTAATGGTTATGCAACTTCAGACCAGCACTACCACGAGAGGCAATGCTGGGCCGTAAGGACTAACAAGCAGGGCTTCAAACTGGTTCATTCTGGTTCGAATCCCTGCTAACAATTTGCATTTCTATCCCCAGAATTACTGAATCAGAATCTACAGCTTAACAAGATCCCCAGATGATTCTTATGTATAATAAATTTTGAGAACCACTGCCCTACTAGTGGTTCTCAGAATTGGTCCCTAACCAGCAGCATTAGCACTGCCTGGGAACTTGTCAGAAATGCAAATTCTCAGCAGGGGTTTGAAACAGAACAAACCAGATTGAAGCTCTGCCAAAGAGTGAGTAGGCAGAATGTATGCATTCCACGTGCCTCTTGCCCATACGTTTATCCAGCAAATGCTCTGTCTTGCAGGCGCAACTTTTATCGAACTGGCCAAGATCTCAACAATTGCAGTACCTGCCAGAACACGGCGTGCATCATATACAGGTACCTGGTCACACCTGAGGCCTGCTCTGTAGAGCATGGAAGTTGCAGGGTCCACAGAACACCCTCATGAACTCTCTTAGACTCAGAAAATCAAGGGAGAAGCAAAGACACAAGGTCTTTGATATCTGAGTCTTAAAAAATCAAGCTGTTTTACTATGAAATGTAACATTGGGTTCCAAGGCAGGGATTACTTTGTTTCATTACAACAAATGAACAAATCCTTTTATGTAACTATCCCTACACTTATTCAATACCAAGAGCAAGTGATGTGCTAAACTCTGCACATGCATTTGCATCTCATCTCTCAATTCTACATTGTGAGGGAGGAGTTATGATACTCTAAGAAGTTAAGCCATTTGGCCTGGTCACATGGAGCATTTTCTGAGAGCAGAAGGGCCCAGAGTCAGGACTCAAATCTGGATCTGTCTGACCCCAAACCCTGTGATCTTGATTATTCCACCACACTGCCTCCTCCTCAACAGTAGCTATCACATGCCAAGCACTTACTATGTGTCAAGAAATGTGTGAAGAACTTTGTGTTCATTTCTAAACACAACATTTCCTTCCAGCATGGGGGAAGGTTGCTGTAATAAAATGGATTGTGACAGGTGATAAAGGGAAGACATCGTTAGTGGTAAGACCACTATACTTGGAGTCAAAAGTCCTGTATTTTAATCCCAAAGTGTGATATCTGCTAATTATCAGAGCTCGAGCAACCACTATAACTTATGTACAGCTCAGTTTCCCTATCTGTAGGGTGGGAACAATTGTCCCTATAACAGCTGTCATAGGGAACAAATGAGATAATCTATGTGAAAGCCTTTTGTAACTCTGTACAAATCCAAGAGCTTATTACTATTATTACTAGAAAGATCTATGCTCTCTTAGCAGGAAACCCATTTTCGATGGCACATGGAAATTGAAAGCATCATTTCCGCTGATGGTGTCTAATTTTGTTTGACCAAAGTGTGCAGTTCTGCTTTCACCATTTCTCTCTCAGATGAGAACAGCTCAGGGTCTGAGCAAGCTGGGGTCCAATTGGGTTGTCTGTGTCTTCTTTTTAAAATTGCTCATTCTCTTTGGCTGATTCTGGAGATTTCATCTTAACAAGGGGTAGTGGGCCTGGAGATCAGGAGGCACAGTTATGCAGGGCTTTGGGCATCTTCTCACTTGAACCTATCAGCTCCTTACACCTAGTAGCCACAAGACCAGCTGTTTTCATCAAATAACAGAAGCTTCAGGACTGCTTACGGAAAACGTCTAATATCCCCTCAAAAAAGGGAACCCTGAAAAAGTATTGTGTTATAAGTAGACAGTCTCATCAACTGGTACCTTTTTTTGCTTTTTTTTTTTAAATATATCTCCTATCTTAATTTTTCTAATCACTTTGTTGTTAGGTACTGTCGAGTTGACTTCCGACTCATAGCGACCCCATGTGACAGAGTAAAACTGCCTCATAGTTTTTTTTTGGCACAGTGGTTAAGAGCTCGGCTGCTAGTCAAATGGTCAGCAGTTTGAATCCACCAGCCACTTCTTGGAAAACCTATGGGAAAGTTCTACTCTATAGGGTAGCTATGAATCAGAATCAACTCCATGACAGCAACGGGTTTGGTTTCTGGTTTTGGAATCTTTATGGAAGCAGATCGCCAGGTCTTTCTCCCATGGAGCCGCTGGGTGGGTTCAAACCACCAACCTTCCAGTTAGCAGCCGAGCGCTTAACCACTATACCACTAGGCTTCCTTTTCTAGTCAGTAGCAGGACAAAAATTATTAAATGTTAGAACAGTTAGAGAGGACAAACAACTATTCATCATAAACAAGAAGAACTATTTTTCGTGAACCAGAACTTAATTTTTTGGACACTCTCTCCTTTCTTCAGCAGCCACATGATGTATTTTCTTCTACCTTAAAATATTTGGCTTATGTAAGTAGAAATCACAAGTGGTCACTTCCTAATCTACTATGAGCCTCACAGTTTGGCCTTGGGTGGGTTACTGTTATCTGAGAAATGAGGGCCTTTAGTTACATGGTCCCTGTGTTGTCCATGTGTGGCACAAACTTCGTTAAGCACTTGGCTACTAAATGAAAGGTTGGCAGGTCAAGTCTACCCAGAAGTGCCTCAGAAGAAAGGCCTGGCAATCTATTTTAGAAAGATCATAGCCATTGGAAACCCTGTGGAGCACAGTTCTACTCTGAAACGGATGGGGTCGCCATGAGTCGAAATTGACTTGATGGTAACTGGTTTGGTTTTTTTGGTTTGTGATCCCTTTAAGTTTTGACATTCTGATATTCTAAGCTGAATTAAAAATTAAACCTGGCAATATTTGGCAAACTATAACCTTCCAACAAGTCCAAGAATTTTTGCATTTTTCTAATACCTACTTCGAACACCCTTTGCAAACACTCTAAATTAAGTTACAGCCCTGGATGAGTGAGCAAAGCTTCAAGCACACATCCCTTTCCAGTTTTCCAAAAGGCACAGCGACTGTATGCATACAGCCCTTATTACCATTCAAAGCCAGACTGTTCTCCCAGACACTATCTATATCCTTGTCTCTAAGCCATTGCAAAGGAATGGGCAATTAATTTGATGAAAGCAAAGAGATCAGAACAATATCCTCATCATAGTAACAGTAAGAAGATGAGAGTTGTCTTTTCTTTCTTTTTTAACATTTCAAATGACTTCAAACCCTGTGTTGTGTCCTGGAAAGTCAGCTCTTACAAACTAATGAATAAGTGATGTAAAATACTCATCCCCAGGCCTTGTTAAGTAGCGGGATCTCTCTGGGATGATGGATGGACCCAGTGCACGTCACTGTACATAACGCACATGGGCACACGATGGATTGCCTACCGGGTCTTCTTCCCTGGAGATTCTGCTGCTAAGTTAGCAACACATAAGGTTTCCTAAGTGATATTTCCCACAGGCCCCATCAGCCAAAGGCTATGGCTATGCTGCCTGCTCGCATCAAGACCTGTGAGCTCATCTGGCTCCATCCAACTCATTCTCTCTGCCCAGAGAGGAGCGGTCTGTCCCCCAAGCCTCCTTGGCTTTCCTCTTACCGTGGATGACTTTGGTAGATCCTACCTCATCAAGGAGCACAACACCAACACCGATGCCTACAGACTCCCACTTGGCTTTCTGGGGGGCTTCTGGAGAATTCTATACACCAGGAAGAATGGACTCCTGTGAGTTTTGACTACTGTGGGCTCTATGCCTCAGGCTGGCCCAGGCTATTTCATCCCCAATCACTCTCCTCACCTCTCTTTAGCACCAATCCCAAAGGGTTGGGTGAATGTTATCAGCTCTACTCAAAATTAAACAGCATTGAATTCCTCACTGAGAAAGTTGTTCCTTTTTCAATTTATTTTCAATCCTTCTGACTACCTAGAGGCAAAATCTGAGTTTGCTGCTAGGATGTCTTCAAAACCTTTCTAATTCTTGCTTATCACACGTCTTTGCCAAGAAGGAGGAGGTCTCAGGCTCATAGCCTTGGGCAAGCAATAGTACCTAGCTAGACTGTAATAACTTTTTACTTTTTATTGAAGCTTTAAAAAACAAATCCCCTTAGATATTTATTGTAAGTGATGCAGATCTCCATTTACAAAATGATATTGCCTGATTTAGATAAATGCTTTTAAGCTTAAAAACTGAATTGATTTAGAGAAATAAATGAAGTAAATAATTGTGCAGATGGTGTAGGGAATATCACAAACACCCTGAAATGATGAAGGAATGATGGAAGTCTGGGAATCAATGCCCTAGGCACCGGCTCCCTTTCCCACTCTTCAAGGGCATAAGGTCTCTCTAATCCACATACATCCCTCCTCCCCTCTCTCCGTCTCTGCTCCTCCAGCCACATCTCCCTGCACTTCATCCTCAGGTTCGTTCTCAGAATAACTGGCAGAGCGTCTTTGGAGGACTTTGACTACACTGATCGTGCATTTATTTTCTGGATGTAGCTCCCAGGAAAATTCCTCTTGGTTTAAGTTGTAAAATGCCTCAAATGTTTCAAGGCAAAAGAATAGGAAGTCTTTCCCAGACAAATTTTTCATCTACCAGCCAAGCATGCTGCTTCAGAAATGGAAATACAGAGCAAGCTGCAAACTTTCCATTTTCATTGGGTGAAGGGAGAGGTTGGCCATGTAAGACTTGAAAGATGCTAAAGAGGAGGGAGAAAGGAAGGGCTACTCTTTGTCCAGGTGCTATCTGGACAGGCTACCTCCTCTTCTCATCCCTAGCCCTTCCTATGGCTTCGGGTGCATCCATGACTTTTAGTTTATTTCTGTGGCACTTCCTTTCCCCTATCCCCCTACCTCTTTCCTGAGTTCCACATATATATTTTCAACTAGTTGCCCTCAAGTCAACTCTAACCCATGGTGACCCCATGTATGTCAGAGTAGAGCTGTTTTCTATAGGGTTTTCAATGGCTCATTTTACAGAAGCAGGTCATCAGGCCTTTCTTCTAGGCACCTCTAAAGAAATCCATTGCCGTCGAGTCAATTCTGACTCATAGTGATCCTACAGGACAGAGAAGAACTGCCCCATAGGGTTTCCAAGGAGAGGCTGGTGGATTTGAACTGCCCACCTTTTGGTTAGCAGCCGAGCTCTTAACCACTGCGCCGTCAGGGCTCCAAAGGTGGACTCAAACCTCCAACCTTTCAGTTAGCAGCCAAGCACACTGACCCTCTGCACCACCCAGGGACTCCCATTTTCAACTAACTACTAGACATTTCTGCCTTGATATACCAAAGGGGACCTCAAACTTATCATTATCCCAAACCACACGCCTCATTTCTCCCCACAAAATTTATTCTCTACCCATATTTCTTAGTTTGTTTAATACGCCATTAACTCTGAGGCAACCCCATAAAGAAAGTGTAGTCCTCACTGCCTTCACCACTCTCCTTCACAACACACATCAAATTGGGTACCAATCCTACCTCCTAAATACAGCCCCTTCACTCCATCCCCTCTGCCTCTAGTTCAGTAAAGACCCT